GATGAATGTGACAAGAGAAAAAGGAGGAAAAGACATGGCAAAAAGACTCTCATAGCCCTGACAAGTGATGATGGAAGTTTTTTGTAACAAGATCCACCAATTACTGATTAATGATGAAATAATCATGGGTTGTTTTTTCTCATTGGTTCCATTCTAAACTTTGGGTTTTGTCTGTATTATATTATGATTTAACACACTGTCCATTATTGCTTGTTTGCTCAGAAAACTACCATTGTCTTCATTTCCTCACTTAGAGCTATAAAGAAAGAATGTGGTTTGGGGTAGGTTTTGTATTTTTTTTTCTGTTTCATAAATATTTGGTGTGAACCTACATGGCAACTGGCACTTATGCTGGACACTGGTTAAGTCTAGTGGGGAAGATAGGAATTAATCAAATTGTAAAAACAGATTTGGAGGGTTATGGTAGGAAGAATCAGAGAATCAGAGTACCAGATACAGAAAATTAGAAAAACAGATAGCAGGGGGAATGAGTAGACTTTCCATTCAGGGATAACCTCCTTTAATGTTTAAGTGATTATACTGAGACCTGAGGTATTTGCTAGAAGGAACAGAAATCTGCACAGGGTAGGAAAGTAGTTCTCACACCTGAGTATGCATCAGAATCATCTGGAGGTTTTGTATATTAGTTAACTATTGTGGCATAACAAATTATCTCCAAACTTGGCAGCTAAAAGTAATAAACATGTATTATAACAAACCGTGAGGATTTCTGGGAGGTCAAGAGTCCAGGACTTCCTTAGTTAAGTGGTTCTGACTCAAGATCTCTCCTGAGGTTCAAATTAGGTATTAACCAAGGTGCTGGCCAGAGCCATATCATCTCAAGGCTCCACAGGGGAAGAATCTGTTTCCAAGCTTTCCACAGGTTTGCCCCATAGCATGACAGATAGCTGCAGGTAGCTTCCAAGCTTCCAATAACAGAACAAGAGAGAGAAGGGGCTGGGGTGGGCAGGAGAGAAGGCAAGGAGCATTAGTATGATATATATATATATATATATATATATATATATGTTCTAGGGATTGAACCCAGGGCTTTGTGCATAATAAATAAGCACTCTACCATTAAGCTATATCCTAAATCCTTCTTATCTTAATTTTTAAGTTTTTTTTATTAGTAGATTATAGTTTTACATCATAATGGGTTCATTTTGATATTTACATAAATGCATATAACACAGTTTTCTTTATTTCAGTCCCCAGTACTTCCCCCTTCCCTTCCTCCCTCCCCTATCCCCTTCCTTTACTCTATTGGCTTTCCTATTTACTCATATATTTTTTATTCGGTACATTATAGTTATATATAAAATTGGAATGAATTGTGATATGTTCATACATGCACACAGCATAAATTGGTCAACTTCATTCCTCAATTCTTCATCTTTCTCTCCCCTTAACCCTCCCTCTTCATCTCCTCCTTCTACTTTATTGATCTCCCTTCCATTTTCATGATTCAATTTTTTATTCCCTTTTTCTCTCTAGCTTCTGCATATGAGAAAAATCATTCAATGCTTGACTTTCTAAGTATACCAGCCCTTTTATTTTTGAGATAGGAGATCTCTAAATTGCTGAGGCTGACTTGTAACTTGAGATCCTCCTGCCTCAGTGTCCTGAATGGCAAGGATCACAGGTGTACCCTACTGCAGCTGGCTTATGAACCAATATCGATACCTAATTATTAAACAAATTTAGTCCGAAGTCTATACTTTATTCAGAGTGCCTTAGTTTTAACCTAATATCCCATTTTCTGTTCCAGAATCACATTCCAGATAACACATTATATTTAGTTATATCTCATTAGGGTCCTCTTGATGTGACAGTGTCTTGGACTTTCCTTGTTTTTAATGATTTTGAGAGTTTTATAGAGTACTAGTCAGGTATTTTGTGGGACTCCAGTTGTTTTATAACCTAACCTCTGAAGTGAGAAGCCATCACTTCTGGCCATATTCTATATGTTAGAAGTGAGTCTAGCCCACCCTCAAGGGAAGTGAATTTAAGGGGAGGAGTATTAAAGAATTTGTGCTCATTTCTTAAGACCATCAAACTTGCTTAAAACACAGATTTCTGTGCCCCACTCCCAGAGTGTCTGATTCAGTAGTGCTGCGGTGGGGTTCAAGAGTTTGCATTTATAAAAAGTACCCAGGTGATGCTGCCATTTGCTGGTCTAGGAATTTCACTTCAGGAGCCACTGGGAGTGGAGACCTTAGTGCATACCAAGGAAATGGGAAAAGTTCAAGATGTATTTCTCTCAAGAGACCTTTTTATAACTACAATCAACACCGAAATCAAACCACTTCTTTAGCTTCTGGACTTTGCCAGTTATCATGAAACTATTAGGTAAAAATGTATTTCTGTACAAAAGTGGTAGTATACCTTATGTTTACATTAGATGTGATTTATTTCATTTGAATGCCAGGGAGAAAAATGAGATATCTATATCTTACATTAAAAGAAGTGGAACACAGGGGTTGAGGTTGTAGCTCAGTGGTAAAGTGCTTGTCTAGTGTGTGTGAGGCACTGGGTTCATTCCTCAGTACCATATAAAAATAAATAAATAAAATAAAGGTACTGTGTCCATCTAAAACTAAAAAAAAATTTTTTTAAAAAAGAACTGGGACACAGAATGGCTAAGTGACTTGTCTAAGATCACACAGCTATAGAACTAAGCTTCAGACTGGGCCATTTGAGCCCTGGCCCCAAAGTTTCCATTCTACCAGGCTCTTTATATTGTTTCCAACTTGTAGGACTTTGCCACCTTCTGGAGAAGCAAAAATACAGTTAGGCACATGAAAGTTCAGATAACTGAATCAACAGAATAGATTTAAAGAAGCATAGTGCAATGGAAAAGGAAGACATAAAACAAGTGATTTATTTGCAAGCTTAGGAAGATCAGCAAGGTCTTAGGTTTGGGAAACCTTTTTTTTAGATACTTTATCTCTAGCTTTAGTTGGACATAATATTTTTGTTTTGTTTATTTACTTATTTATTTTCATGTGGTATGAGGATTGAACCCAGGGCCTCCCACGTGCTAGGCAAGTGCTCTACCACTGAGCCACAACCCCAGCCCCGGGGAAACCTTATCCATCAATATCCAACTTCTCCCTGCTTACAGACTACCATAACTACTACCAATTACATTCCACCTGCAGGTAGCACCTGAGAAAATCACTAGAAGAACCACAGGCCATGGTCGTCTTTTTGTCTGCCCATGCACACCGACTGGAGTGCTTACCTATGCTGATAAAATTGCCAGGTGAAAAGATATGTTAGTATGTTTTTTTAGGCTTTGTTGTGAATGGAAGAGACAGAGTAGTAGTACACATACCACCACCAAGATGACCAAGTTGTACATGAGAATCTAGAAATGTGGGAAGACCCTTGGATGTCTTTCAGTGTGTAACTTTTCTTAAAGGGAGTAAGATGCAATTATATTATGAAGCAAAGAATTAGGTGCATAAACACCCAATGAAGTCACAAAAGCTAAATAGCTATACACTAATAATCTTCCTTTTTAAATGAGGTAACTTTTTTTCATAGCTTTATTCATTTATTTTTTACGTGATGTTGAGAATTGAACCCAGGGTCTCATATGTGCTAGGCAAATGCTTTACCACTGAGCCACAACCCCAGCTCTGAAAATCTTACTCAGTGAGAAAACCAGCCCAATCAGACCAAAGGAGTGGTTTCTGGTTGCATTTTATCTTTCTTTAATGAACATTCTACCTTTCACTTTAGTTGATGCTTCACATTACCTAAACTAAGTTTTGGTGGAAATGGTTTAAGCAAGCAATATTTCATGCATTCATATTAGCAAATAATGATTTCATATACAGAGCTGTGAGTTCAAGTTTACTCTTTTTTCCTAAAATTTTTTTTAGTTGTAGATGAACACAATGCCTTTATTTTTTTTTAATTTATTTTTATGTGGTGCTGAGGATCAAACCCAGTGCCTCACACGTGCTAGTCGAGCACTTTACCACTGAGCCATAACCCCAGCCACTCAAGTTCACTCTTATCAAACAATATCCAACACGGTGTAAACATAAGCTCCTGTCCCAAAATGGTAGTGTATGGTGGTGATGAAACAAAAACAAGTCAGTGTCCTAAGGTGGTAAGAGGGTATGAAAGAAAGTGTAAGTGACCTTATATTTGGTGTTTTCCAACAGTACTAGTGGTGGCAGGGGGCACGGAACAGAACCAGTGACTACAATTAATTCTGTCCAGTGGGGTTGGGAGTGGAGGGCAGGAAGGCATGAAAGTGTTAGTGACCTTACAATGCATCACATCTAATGATGTTAGTGGGGGGGCACGAAACAGAAGCAGTGACCTAACAGTGTCATCTAAAGATGTTGGCCCAGGTGGGAATGAGGGGTGCAGGGCCACGAAAGAGTCAGTGACCTAACAATCCTGTCCCAAGGTGTTGGGGTGGGGGTGGGGCGTCAGAGACCATGAAACAAGGGAGTCAGTGACATTACAGTTAATTCTGACCAATGGTGGGGCGAAGACGTGAACCAGAAACGGTGAGCTTACATTTAATCTTGTTCAAAGGTAATAATAGTGGGGGAGGGCATGAAATAGCCATTATAATTAAGTGATAAACAGAACATGAAAACCAAAATATAAAGATGCAACAAGTACTGTAAAGTGCAACAGTCATTCCATCCAGGGAAGGCCTCCCGGAAGAGGCACCTTGGGCTGAGAAAGGCCTTGAGTCGTGTTTAGGGCGTGGGCTCCCTAAGTCCTCCTTGTCCCCTAGCACTTTGGCTACAGTTCGGCCTCGGAGGACTTGGCCAGGGGCAGGGACAGGAACGGAGACATTGCCAGACCAGGTTGAATCCCACCAGCTAGAGAAAGGGGGTTGGGTGTCTCACTCAGGCTTTTAAGAGCTTGTTCGGTAGCAGCGGCCAATCAGGGGAGCGCGCGTGCGGCCGCGTGCCCCTCGTGCCCCCGCACCCCTCGCGCGTCGTGTACGTGCGGCGCCCGGCTCCGCCCAGGAGGGCGGGACCTCGAGAAGCCGCGGGCGCCCGTCTGCGGCCCGTGAGCTGCTGTTGCTGCTGCTGCGGCGGCTGCAACCCGCGGTTCCGAGGCTGAGAGGCCGAGGTGTGCCCCTGGCGAACCTGCTGGATCTGCGCGGCTCAGCTGTACCGGTCCTTGCGGCGGTTAGGAAGTCCCAGCTGGTCTGTGCGCTGCTCTGGTGAGGATGCGGCTGTTCCAGTGGCTGTTGAAACAGCCGGTGCCGAAGCAGATCGAGCGCTACTCGCGCTTCTCGCCATCGCCGCTCTCCATCAAACAGTTCCTGGACTTTGGTGAGTGCGGGGCCACAGGCCCCCACGGTCCCGGGATGTGAGGGCTCCACCATCTCGGCCATCCTCCCGGGTCTCCGCAGCCTTTGGGCAAAGTCCGTGGGAACCGCGGGCGGGGCTAGGGGATGCCCATGAGTTCTCCTCCAGGCTCGGATTTCGGGGCATGGAGGGGTAGGGCCTGGCACCCTCACACCAGCGAGGGCCAACCCGGAGACACAGAAACCGCGTCCAAGGACTCTCATTCCAAGGGCGGGGGGAGTCCCCAAACCTGCCACCATTAGCTTTAAATCTATGTGACACAAACCTTACCGCTCATAAAACTTAAGAACGAAATGTGTGTGACTTTTAAATGTTTTTAATTTTAGATTTTTTTTGTTGTTGTTAGGTAAGAGCTGTTTAGAAACACCTTGAGGTTGAATAAATTATGCAATGGCATTTTGTTCTTTTTCTGCTCTGAGGAGTTGCTGTGTAGCCAGAGCGGGAGGACTCGAACTGTAGTCTCCATCACGTTATATTAGAGCAGTCAAAGGCCTGGACTGTAAATTCCTTGATGCTGGGAAAGAGCCGACGTATGGGTTCCTAGTGTCAAAGCATGATCTATGACAACTCTGGCCTCGGTTTCAGCACCTTTCATAGTTCCTTTCCCTTGGAGTTTCATCCACCTTCCCCCATCAACTGCGCTGGTTTGCGTCTTCCATGGATTAAGGGGGAGCAAAGACGACCCGGCTCCCCATCCTGCCTTAGGCCTAGCTGAGAAGGAAATAGATTCCACCACCTTCTGTTAACTGGATCATGTTTCCCCAGAGGGTGCCATTCCAACCGCAGCTAAAAGCAGTTGTGCAACACCTGAAAGTAAAACAAAAGTGTGCAGCCAGGTAACAGAATGGAGCTTGACATCCCTAAAGGAAAATAAAATCAAGCAGCAAAGATGTTCTAATCACACAAGGGAAAATAATGGGGCGTCTGTTCATTTAATGAATTTTATGTAAATGTCAAGGGATTGTGTAGGGCATTAAAAACTAAAGTACAGAGTAGGTAGAACATTCCAGAAACATCTGGAATGTGCCAAATGTGGTGTCTATACTTAAACAAGATGGGATAGGAAGGAAAGAATAGTTTGAATTTGAGAACAAATTAAATTTTTAGAAACCTATTTGCCACAGACCCATGATGAAAGTCAAAATTCAGTGAGATGTTGATCTTGGCATCTTAACTTCACTCCCCAAAGCTTTTCAATAATCGGACTTTACCATCTGAGGTTATAGAATTTTAGAGATTGGAGGCAGGTCCTGACTTCAGAGTTGCTGTTGCTAATAAATAGGCATGTTTTCCATCTCTAATTTATGGTTTAGAGAAGATTATTCTGAAGGTATCAACCTTTTGGTTGGGTAAACTGGGACATGTTAGTTCACAGTAAAAGGAACCTGGAATTAAATCCCAATTCCTCCCACCCTCAGAGTTTGTGCTAGCTTTAAAAGTGTGGCTGAATTTTCTGTTAATTTATTTTCTGTGGCAGTTACTATATACCCCTGTTAACAGGTGTTTTGGCAAGAATGTTATTTGAGTAGGTAAACCCCAATGGGGGATACTGTTATAGTGGAAAACCTATAGGGCCAGTATCTGGAAATGATTTTTTTTTCTTTCTTTTTTTTTTCCTTGCTGAGGATTGAACCCAGGGCCTTGTGCATGTGAGGCAGGCACTCTACTAACTGAGCTATATCCCCAGCCCTGGGAATGAATATTTTAATTCTGGCTCTGCCACTAACTCAGAGTATGGCCTTAGCTAAGTGATTGAATCTCACTGGGGTCCATTTTCCTCATTAATAAAACATATAGATTGTATAGATAATCCCTAAAGCTCAGCTCCAAAACCATGTGATTGAATTTCAAGAAAAAGGGTGAGCTTTTTAAGAGAAAATTTCAAAAATCTTTTGATTTACCTGTTAAAGTCTTCTGACCTATTTTGAAGGGGTAGAGGGATTTATTCATCTAGGATCTTGAGAGAAGCATAATAATTTAAGTCTTTACCATATAAGGACACTCACAGAAGTGCTATATATAATTGTAGTGAAATTTTCTAGAAACTACAAACCTTGTTTGTAACACCCAGAGGCAAATCAGGTGGCATTGAGCTTTAATGACATGACAACTAAAAGAAGGGAATTGTCATTAAAAAGTCCATCTCTACTTCTCTCTTAGTTTTGTCTCTTGATAGAAGTTCTGTTTTGACAAGGGATTGGGGGAGATTAAGCATTCAGAATGGATGTCAGGATAGGGAGAGGAGTAATGAGAGGTTTTCTCCCCCTGTGTGATTGAAGAAAACTGCAGGAGAGGGCCAACTCAAATGCTTATAGGACCAGATGGGGAGCAACAGGTGAATGAACTAAACCAGCCAGGTGAGGATTGTGGCAAACTCCTGGTTTATGGCTGGCTCCAAAAAGGGCAGCTGATTGGCACCCATTTGGTTTATATTTTAAAAGACCTTTGATGTAAACAAAGTAGATGGATTGCACTGGTCCACAGGTTTCTAGTTTGTGAATTTTAAGTCGTTTTCCTTGAGTAGTTTTTAGATATATGGGGCATAAGCTTTGGCTAGAGTAACTAGACAGGGACCATAGAAAGGATATGCACAGAATTTTTGTTTACAGTATTTGTTAGATAATCATATCAACAAATAAATTGTAGTTTCTATGGACACTGAAAGAGCTTTCTTATTTTAATGAATTGCACATTAGTGAATAAGGAGATTATTTCCTATGTTTAAGAGTGTCGACTGAAAAATGGTGTTTACTTCAGGAGCAGTGATTTTATGTCATTTAAATTTTTTGTAATACTAACTTTTAAGATTTATTGTATATTAGTCTTTTTTTAAGTCATAAAAATTGTGAGTAAAGCCAAAGGCCTCCTTTAATCAATCCCACTAATATCCTGCCAGAGACAGCACTACCAGTAATTTGGTATGCATCCTTCTATTCCATTTATTATGCTGTTCCATACATATTTCAGTGATATTCATGTAAATTAGAGTGATTTTATTTTAAAGCTGAGGTTCACAACTTGAGTACTCTTGATGTTCTAGGCAAATTCATTGTTGTGGGGGACTGTCCTGTGCATTGTGAGAGGCTTAGCCACATTCCTCACCTCTACCTACTAGATGCCTCCTACCCCAAAAAACATGCATCTCCTTGTAGGGAGACCTACCTAAGAGTCGCCTGGGTAGTTCTTTGTTGAGATGCAGTGTTTTAAAACATTGAGATCAGTGTTTTTTTGTTTTGTTTTGTTTTGTTTTTAGAGCAGGGCCACACACCAGGAATTTCTGATGTCAGTGGTCTGGGAGTGGGGTACAAGGCATTGTGTTTTTAGAAAATCCTGAGGTCATTCTAAAGCTTTAAAAAGTACTAACTAGATGCTCTTCTTGCTAATCTACAGTCCCCCTTTCATCTTTGTGCAGTATTTTTTTAAGCCCTTTAAAATAATAAAAGTTTTTTATTTTAAGTTTTTTATTTATTTCCAAAATCATTTTTGGAAATACGGCCTGCCACCCAGCAAGGGTAGCAAGAATAGCAATTGTTTTAGATGGATAACTAGTTTAAAAAGATATTACAGTAGTATATTCTGAAGGATTGGATTTTTAAAAATGAAATCTTCTTTTTGACCTGTGATTCCAGTCATGGTTCCTATTTCAAAAAATGTAAAAGGGCATAAGCAGAAAACCCTGCTTCCTACTTCTCTTCACTAACCACCTTTTTTTTTTCCGCATAAATGCAGCTTATACTTTTTTTTTTTTATACCAAGGCGCTTACCCACTGAGCCACATCACCAACCCTTTTTATTTTTTGTTTTGAGACAGGGTCTCACTAGGTTGCTTACAGCCTTGCCGAGTTGCTGAGTAAGGCTGGCTTCAAACCTGAAATCCTCCTGCCTCACCTCCTAATCCACTAGGATTACAGGTGTGCGCCACCACGCTTGGCAGTTTATACCTTTGAATCTTGTATTTCAAACTCAATACATTAGAGAAATTTCCACATATGTACCAATAGAATTTCCTTTTTCTTTTTTATGGCTTCTGAGATCTTGCTTATATATATGGGTGTAGTATAATTAGCCAACTCCCTATTGAAGGCTAGTAGATTGTTTCCAGTCTTTGCTATGACAACCAGTGCTACAATGAATTATCATGTACATTGAAATTTCATGCATGTCTGAGTTTTATATAGGACAAATACCTAAACATGGGGATGTTCATTTATAATTTTGATAAACACTGTCCACTTGCTTTCCATAAAGGGTGTCCGTTTACCCTCCCACTAGAATTTTCTGAGAGTGCCTATTTTTTAAATACTTTTATTACATTGTTGTTAAACTTTTGATAGGTGAAAAATGGTATCTGGCATTTTCTTTTTAGAAATTTTTTTCTCCTTAAGTGTTTCTATATTTTACCTTTTTATTATAAAGTTGTAAACATTTACAGAAGTATAGTGGTTTGATGAACTATTCATCCTGTGTTCATTATATTGATATCCATTGTCTGTAGATATTGTGTTTAAGTGCAGGCTTTTAGGTTTCCTTATCAAAGCTACACTCAGTTCAGAAAAATATTTTTTTCTTTTTCTATACTAACACCAATTTATGAGTTATGTTTTTCATTTGAATAATATATTCTTTAAAGATTGGTAGAGTATCTGTATGAAACCTTTTAAGCTCAGTGTGCTCTTTGACAACTTTCTCTATTCTCTGGTATTGATCTGTATAGATTTTTTTGTTCCTTCTAGAGTCTGTTTTGATATTTTGCTTCTAGAAAATTATCATAGTCAATGTGGATAGCTGAGATAGTAGGTTTTTTTTTTTTAACAGCCTTAAATTTTCCTGTGGGCATTTCCTCTTTGTTTCATAATTTTGTACTTATTCTCCCTACCCACTTCTTGATGAGGTTAGTTGATAGTTTATTTGATTGAATTTATTTCTTAGCTTTATTATGACTGTTGTTTTCTAGTTCATGAATG